CTTCATAAAGAAGAATATTGTTTAATTTAAGGTATTTACGTGTTATTGAAAATTTGTAAATTTGTGCGTGTTGTTGAAAATTTGTAAATAAATCGTTGAGAATCGTTGGGATTTCTTGTAATTTTACGTAGGAAAATTTTACTTTCCCTTTGTTTTTCTTCCTTCATAAAGAGGAATATTGTTTAATTTAAGTTTTATTTACGTGTTGTTGAAAATTTATAAATATCGTTGGAGAGGATTTCTTGTAATTTTGCGTAGGAAAATTTTACTTTCCCTTTGTTTTTCTTCTTTCATAAAGAAGAATATTGTTTAATTTAAGGTATTTACGTGTTGAAAATTTGTAAATAATCATTGAGAATCGTTGGATCGATTTGCGTTATGAAAACAATCGTATTTCAAATAATTCGTAATTTGAAATTCGTCTTCGAATTTTTATTCAGACGAAAATTAGGATTAATATTTGAATCGAATTAAATTAAATCGATTCTTCTTTTAATCTCATTTCCTATTTTTATTATTCAAATTCATTTATATAAATGTTAAATTTTCTTGTATATTTTTAGAAAGGAAAATTTTACTTTCCCTTTGTTTTTCTTCCTTCATAAAGAATATTGTTTAATTCAAAGTATTTACATTTACGTTTTACAACAGCAGTTGAAATTATTGTCGAGTAATTTTTTTAATATACTCATTTTCCTCCATTCTATTTCTATTTCAAGAGAAATTAAAAACTTCCATTTTTTTAATTCTCTTCTTTCTTCTTTTAAACGATTCTAACAACCAGATATCTTATTTTCTTTTCTTCTAATTGGCAAAATCTTTGTAAACGAAAAATAAGAAAATTAATAATTCAATTAATAATACAGTAGAATCAAAACTGGAATCTTTTTCACTTACGAAAAAATAATCGTAATGGGATATGATGAACGAATGAGGGTTAAACAATCAGCGCGAAAAGCATCATTGCAAACCTGGAGGTTTTTCATAAATGCCAAAAACCCGGGACTCTTTGTTGTCTGGTTAACTTATTTACGATGTTACAGCGGTTTTATGATTGCAATGGAGAGAGAGATGCGGGACAATCTGGTCCGTGGCCCGGAAGGAATTTGCATTTTATTCGTTTAAGTTCGTATGTTAACACGTTTAGAAGCGGAGAACTGTGTGTACACCGTGTTTCCTCTTTATTGTTTTCCACTTCTTTCGTACAAATCGTTCTTTTTTTTTTTTCCATCTTGTGCAATAATTTTATACATTATTTTATACATTAACTGTTTGTTTTCATTCGAAAAAGTTTGTGTAAAATAAAATTCTACTTGAACAATAATATTAAACGACGAATAAATAAATAACAAATTATTTATCAGCGAACAAAAAAGAAATGTGATGAAATCTTTCAAAATTATTAGAACAATAATATAGATAAATTTTAATAATAATATTGAAATATTGCATTCATCAATAATAAAAAAAAAAAAAGAAGATCTCAAAAGATGAAAAAGATTAGCTCAATTACAAATAAAGAAGAATATATCGTATGATATGATATATTTGATAGCAGCAATATATTTGTTCCCTCACACTGGGAAAGTTTCTCCGCTGGTACACATTATTCCTCGAAACTCTCGAATGTGCTTAATTAGGCGATATTTGAGGAAGCATCCCTTTACGAACGAGCCCATCCTCTCTAAGGTCGGTTTCACGCTCGCAAGCTGCTATTATGGAAAGCCACTGGATTCACGTAAGAAAGCACGGGTGTCTACCGGCTGCTGTTACCCCACCACCATCCTAGAACGTCTTACCTGAACTAATATTGTTAGGATCTAATTAGTACCATCGTGACACCGCCTGACCTTGTCTCATCCTCTTCCTCCGCCATCTTCTTCCATTTATCCCCTCCCCTCCTCTCCACTACTTATAATTCTCTTCTATCCGCTATGGTTATGTCGTATGCGTTACTTCCTTTCTCTTTCGTTTTATCCTCTATAATTGTTTCCATTTGTTATTAAACGGCTTTTTGATTACTCTTAAGTGGATATTGATCAGATAGTAGAAAGTTTTGTACGAGATATACAAAGGAGATAAGTAGAGAAATAATGAAAAAAAGTTTATACAAGTTTAGTTAAGATTTGCAATTAATTTTCCAATATTCTTTTATTATTTTATTCTTATTTTATTAGAAAGTTTTACTTGATTTTTGAACACGAGTATTGAACGAAAGTTTATCAATATATCAAATGAATATATCAGAGAAATGATACTTTAGAAATGATTCTTGAAATAAGATGAAACAAGTGTTATATATTTATATGAATTTTCCTTTATTGTTTTTTTTTTTTTTTATAAATAACGAAGAAGGAAATATTTCCATTCGTTACGAGTTGATATTCTGTGTACAGCAGGTTGCATCATCTCTTGTGCGTGTTTCTCTCTGTTCAATTTTAACGGTCGTTCCAGAGGCAACTTGCATAAGTTGCCAGACCGTGTCTGAGGAAAGGACATTCGCCGCTCCCTGTTATCATGCTACTGGGTTTAGATTATGGGAGAATTTCAGGGAACGTTCAGTCGATTATACTTGTGGTTGAAAGTTTCACGTGTACGATACCTTGGATCTTGGTATTCTTGCGTTTGAAATGGACGTGACGTTGTTATGAAATTGTTTTCGTTTTCTCTTAAAAAAAAAAAAAAAAGAAAAAGAAGAAGAAAAATGGAAATTTCGAGAGAAATTTAATATAATTATTCCGCAAGCATCGAGTTAGAAAATTTATTTTTTCAATCGTATTTCATTAAATAAGTAAAAAGCATATAATACACTGTATGAATATGTAAAATATGTATAAACATCGTTTCATGTTATTATTATATTATATTTGTCGTAATTATCTAATTTTATTCGAATTACGTTTTATATACGTGTTAATTCATAATAATTATATAATTTACTATATTCCATGCATTTATAAATTCGTATATTCTATGTATAATATATTTCGCGTTGATTACTCGGCCTTCTCAAATATCTCTGAATACAAATGTTACGTGTAAGCAATTTTGTTTTATTATTTTCCCCTCTTATTATTGCATTATTGAAGGAATGTATTCTTGAAAAGGAAATATATCTCATAAAAATTCTATCTATAATAATGAAATTTCGAGAAATAGTCAATCAATACAACAGGCTACAAAAGGCCTCTAATAAATCTTTCAGACAAACTATCGAAGTTTCTATTCAACGTGTTAATAGAAATTCGATGTTAATCAAGTTTCCTTTGTATCATAAATCGAACAATTTACAACGAAGCGAAGAAAATTCAACGAGGTGGATTTTCAACGAGCGTGCAATCATTCGATGGTAAAACGTGTCCCAAGTGTGAGAATCCCGTTTCATGATGTTGCGAATAGAGATTGCGTTCTATCGATCTATTCTTATTCACCTACACTTCCGTGTCACAGTTGTCGAGAAGTAATGGTGGTTGAAAAGTAGCTTATTTAGAATCTGTTGTGAACGAGTAAAACAACTCGTGTTGGCAACTATTACCTGTCAATATCCGTCAATTTTCTTTACTTCATCGTCGTTAATCTTCTTAAAGCTTTGCTTTCTTCACATCGCTTTTTTTTTTTATTATCATTAAACGAATTAATATTTTTAATCTCCAATTTAAGAATCATTTATCTTCTTCACTATTGCTATCGCTATTGAAATACCAAGAAATATTTTAAAAATGTATTTCTATTTAATAATAAATATTAAATGTGTTTAATGAAATTTTTAAGATCTAAGGTAATTTTATCTATTAATAGGATCATATGCTCTCTCTATGTTAGAAAAATATGACGACATATCTAGCAGTCTTTATAAAGGTTAGCTTGGCTCGTATTATCTCATTAGTCTTGAAAGAGTTAAATGGAGGAAGAATTCTCCCTTGTCATTTATGAAATGAGAAGCCATATTTCGTGTTGCAGCAATATATGTTATAAATAATAAAAATTTTTATTCTACTTCTTATTATATTTTTTTTTTTAACAGACTAATATTTTCTTCCTTTATATAAAATTCTTGATCCTCTCATTTTCGCCATAATCGAAAATATTATTTTCATCGTGATTCCAATTTATATATATGGAATTTTATTTTACTACTCCTATCTACAATTGTATCGAACATATGTTCCTAATCGTGTTCCTTATTTTTTCCTCGCATTTTTTTACTACTATTTTCTACCTTTTTTTTTAAAATTACTGCACTCGACGAACATGTAGAAGCCTGAAATCACGTTAAAGCTCGTTGCGACACCCAAGTTACGAGAGGGCGTAAAATCTAAAGGTAGGAGCTTTCGATATTAGCTGCATTATAAACCACTTGTACGTGAGTGTTTCACTTACGGACAAATTGCAGATAGGTCGTATGCGCGCGCATCAGGCTACCACGTGACTATATTGCGTATAATGGTGGCATGCTGTTGCACGCGTGTAACCCTTCGCGGGAATATTGTTCACGGTGGGGAAGGATCCGTAATTAAAATTGCCTTTAATCGTGCTTCCGTGCCACTTGTATATACGAGCTCGGTGTCCTTCTACGCCAAAGAGGAATTTCCTTCCTTAAAGCTTCTTGTTAATTTTATATTGCTATCGTTGAATATTTTTTCGATACACTTCTATCGCTTCTGTGATGTATGTATAAAAAAAGATTTGAACAAATTATTAGAGAAGTTTAACGTGAATAATTGTTACACTCAATATGATAGTTGTTAATGGAAAAGAAAATTGTAGAAATTAAACAATGAATCATCATTTCGTTCGAAGAAATAAAATACAATTGGAATGTTAATGTTTAAGCTGCGACGAAAGATAAAATAATTAAATTCTAAATGCTAGATTCTAATAAATTGCATTTTATTTTTGTTTCAGGGCCGATGTAATCGGGAAAAACCCCCGTGCAAATATTTCCATCCACCACAACATCTGAAGGACCAGCTTTTGATAAACGGGCGTAATCATTTGGCCCTAAAGAACGCGCTGATGCAGCAGATGGGTCTTACACCGGCCCAGCCACTAGTGCCTGGCCAGGTACCAGCAGTGGTATGTCCAAACTTTAACACATTCGTTGCACCACGTCTTCTGCTGTTCACACATCCACACATTTTCTTTTTACCACGGTCGAGAGATTTTGAGTTTTGTCTGTGTTAGTCGACGACTACCACTAGATTACCCTTTTGGTAGGTAACGCTGTGTAAATAGTCACGATGAAGTGTATCATTTGATCCTTATTATTAAAAAAGAAATATAATATAAGTTATGATCGATATTTTTTCCTAACAATTAATAGTTAATAATATATATATATGTTACAATTATCTATATTATTAAGATTATTCTTTATCTCCTTTCTCTGAAAAATTTAAGTTTTTTCTCCTCTTCTTTCCAAGTTTTTGTATTTGATTTTTGTATCGTTATTAGAGAAATTTTACACCTCGTCGTCTTCATTTATCGGCGTTCTTTATTTGCGGGCATTGCACCGAGAGATAAAACTTCAGAGAGTAAACTTTAGCACGCCGCATGTTTTTGGTCAGTGTCACCCCTTACTCCTTTAATTTATCCATGATTCTTGATAGACAGTCAATATTTATATATTATATATATTTATTAAAAGATCAGTTTTTTTTTTTCTAAATAGAAATGTAGTACAGTTATTAGTTCTAGATTACTGTCGAATATAAATTAAAAGGCAAATACAATTATTTTGTTGATTCGTCAATGTTATTTCTTTCTTTTTTTTTTTTTAAATCTTTTTTAAATCACAACATATATATATGTATATATGATGTGTATATATCATGTATATATATCATTTGACGAATCCACAAAATGTACCCCATCTGTTCCATTTAAAAAAAAATGATAATAGAATAACAATGAAAAATTTACAAAAAAAAGAAAAAATAAATGATCAGTTTAACAAATGTTGTCTCTCATTGCGTGCACATGCAATGAAAATAGCGAAATACAATTGATTCGTTCCCCTAATTAATTATTTATGATAATTTTAACGCCTAGAAAGGAAATTTTCACCAAAGAAATCAGATCATCATTACGCCCACCCGCCTTTTATTTTCATGACATATAATTCATAGTCGTTGCTACGTGACATCGAATCCTATACTACTCGTATGACTGCCTGTCTGTCCCCTATGTTTGCCGCTGTGGCTCTCGTGGTTGTGGTTGATTGTTGGTGTGTTCTCCAATTACGTCATTGGTGAACAGGAGGCACCAGCACCTCCGGCACCACACCATCACCTTCAACAGCAAATCCAGCAGCAACTTCTCGCTACCCACGCCTTTATGGTAACTCCTGGTTTTGGTTGGCTTCCACTAATTTTTTAGTTAATTAAAGTGCCACGCGATGGCGCTGACATAGGGAATAAATCTGTTCCTGTTAAATATTAAATGTTTAATTTATTTATGTTATATTACTTGTATTATATCTGTATTTCTTCAGAAATCTTGCTTATTATTTTTTTTTTTTTTTTTTATAATAATTTTAACCTTAATGATTTTTAATTAATATTCGATTTTGAGTTATTATAACGAAGTTGAAGCCGCAGATTTATTTCAGATGGCACCGCTATCGCGCGTGTTAGTGTGCCTGTAAGATTAGTAAGCGTTTGTATGAAAGCTTCAACTTGTTTTCAAAAGAGTGCCGCACTGTAAATTAAGATTGAGACTTGATATGCATGCTTCACGAAATGTTTCATTTTGTTTTTATCAAAAGTTAAGAAAGTTTCTCTGTACATTACGACAGAGTTTTTTTTACCTTTAGAGAGTTTTTTCCTTGAAAGCATGAATTATTTTGCGGCCAAGTTAAATCGTGGCGTTTCTCTCTCTCTCTCTCTCTCTCTTTTTCTCTCCCTCTCTCTATTTCTCTCACTCTATTTCCATGAAAAATTTAGAAATTTCGTTCGTTATCTATTTGTTACTTCTTTTTGATTGTTCAATGTTAAAAGTTTTTTAAAATACGTGCATGCAGTTTGTTCTGAAACCAATGTTTTGCGAAAATGTGAAAAGGTTTACGATACAATCTCGACAATCTTTTCGATTCATTCGAGAAAATATGACATTAAATTCTTTGTTCTCTCATAATTACTCATACAGATTTTCTTCTCTTCATAAACTTGCATTCGAACATCATAAATTTTTTTTTACCAAAAATTATTTAAAAGATTTTATTTTAAAAAAGAAGAAGCTTATATATTTACCTTCAGAACAAATTCTAAGATAATTTCGAACCCAAACAACAAAATTTAAACGTAACGATTGCCAACCTTTTCTATTTTCATCAATTCGAACGATCATCAAATTAACAAATTCCCCAATATAACATTTAATTATTTAATTTCAACAACTATCAAAGTCGAATTTTACAAGAGATAAAAAAAAAAAAAATCGAGAGCGAGGGAAACGCGCGCGAAACGATCGCGAACGATCGAGGCACGTCTCGAAGCCGGACGACTTTATATTCCCTTTCCCTCTTCCTCTTCGAAGAGGGGGAAAAAACTGTTTTCCGGGTCAACGGCCATTATCGCTCAAAGTTTTTCGGCGGCTGGCGTGCCTCGGTTGTCCTGGAAGCTTCTATACGTCGAAAGTTCGAAGAATACAAGCACACAGGGTCCTTAAGAAGAAGAAGGAACGGGCGTTCAGCTCATTCGGCTGCGCTTCAAATTACCTGCCTTCGCTTCTGGGAAGCCCGTTCTCTGCAAAACCAAAAATGCTTCTTATGGGAACGCGCGCTTGTCGTTCAAAATGGCGGTTACAAGCGCGACGAGACGAAACGAGATCAAGACCTCGCGAGTTATTCAGCCATCGTTCTTTTCTTCGTGGATTTTTTTTATTTTTTTCAAAGTTTTGCAAGCGTCGATTCTCGAACATGAATTTGGGGACAAGTTGATTTTTTTTCAAATTAAAATTTGATCTTTATCTTAACTTCATTGCGAGAAAAATCTATCTATATGTAATGTTTTCTATTTTCATCCAAGTGACTTATATTGACTTTTTTTTTTTTGTCAAACGAAGAAGAGAACGTTGCAATTTTTAAAGATTCATACGTGAAGGTTTAATATTTAGTAATTGAAATCTGCTTTGATTTTGAATACTTTTATTAATATATTTTGAATTTATATTTTAAATGAAGAGAAAAAAAATTGTTATTACTTTGTTGATATTATGCTCTAAAATATGTACAATATATTTTTCGATTAAAAAAAGTAAAGTATAAATAAGAAACAATATATTTTTCATAACTTGAAATTTTGTGTAACCTTTCAATATAGCCACGAATATATAAATATTTAAAAAGAAAAAACTTATCTTAAGACAGAGGTGACAAACTTCTTCCAATTGTTTGTCCAGACATCCAATTTCTCCATCATTGTTATATATAGAAAAAATACAACGTTAATGACATTCAGAAAACAGAAAAGAAAAAAATATCAAGATCAAATCAATCAATGTGAAAAATAGCTTCGAAGGAATCACTCGAATCGCTCGCGAAGTCTCGATCTCGTGGCAAAGTAACAAAGATCTCGTTCTCAAATCGCAATCACACGTAGATTGGGGTGGGTCTGTATCGCGCTTGCGTCGTGAAGGGTTGGCGAAGAGCTGTAGAGCACATAAAGACAGAGAAAAAAAAAAAAA